TGGGTGGATTATTTTCTTAGCGCTCTAGGCAAAGATTTTGACCTGGTGGGACATGAAAAAGTCAAAAAAAGTCCCATAGGTTTGCATATCATCATGCAGAATACCTTAGCAACATGTTAAGTGAATAGTTAACTCAAAAATGTTAATTAGCTGAAAATGTATTCACCCTCAGGCCATCTGAGATGTAGATGAGTTTGTTTCATCATTACAACGGATTTGAAGAAATGTTGCTTTACATCACTTGCTCACCATGTATCCTTACAAGTGAATGGGTGCCGTCAGAATGAGAGTCCAAACAGCTGATAAAAACATCACAATAATCCACAAGTAATCCACACCACTCCAGTCCATCAATTAACACCTTGTGAAGCAAAAAGCTGCATGTTTGTAATAAACAAATTAACCATTAAATCGTTTCAATTTATTTATTTGAAAAAGAAGTCCTTTGTAACTTTTATAAATGTCCATACTTTGTCCATATTCCATAATAACGCTTCCTCCAGTGAAATAGTATCCCCTGTTGTTCTTTCACATCAAAATCCACCAACATATTTGTGTAGAACTATTCTGGACTGTTTTGCTTGTAAGTGGTGTTTGATCTGTGTATATTTCTCTCCTGATACAGGCAAGACAATATTTTCACTGGAGAAAGCAATATTATAAATAGAGGACTTTTAACTGGAAGCAACGGTCTGAAGTTAAAAAATGACTTGATGGATTTGTTTATTGTAAATACACAGGTTGTGGTATATTTAGATTACTTGGGGATTATTGTGATGTTTTTATCATCTGCTCTCATTCTGACGGCACCCATTCACTGCAGAGGATCCATTGGTAAACAACTGATGTAAGGCAAAGTTTCTCTAAATCTGTTATTAAACAAACTCATCTGCATCATTGATGGCCTGAGTGTGAGTACATTTTCAGCAATGTTTTATTTTTGGGTGAACCATCAGTCAAAACACCTTAGCAACCTCATAGCAACTCCTATAACGCTCTAGCATGTGGCGTCAAGTTTTGCACATGAGAGACATTGATTTGCAACTCATTAATGCAATGAAACTAACTTGGAAGAATGTTTGTCTCACTTACTGGGAGGCTATGAATGTCTTCAGTTGAGATTAGTTATGGGGAATGAAATCAATGGCATTTGTTTCTTGCTTTAATAAGATACATTCATCATTTCAGGAGAACATACACTGAGGAATTATTGACAGCTGTAGCCACAATCTACTGCACAACAGACGGATTCATTCACACCTTTCTGTAGCAAGACAGAGGTAAATCCTGAGGTTGAAAATTGACGATAGACAAAACCACCATGGGGTGGTGAGACGAGGATGTTTAGAAAAATAAATATAACAGCTTTTTGGAGAACAAACTGTTTTTTATCTTTTGCACTCATTTCAGGGTGTTACTAGATACCAGTGGCATATCCGTATCCACCAAAATTAAAGTTTTATTTTATTTTATATTTATTACTTTTTAAAGTTTAAATTCTGTGATGTGTTCTTATATATACTATGTCAGGTTTCAAACTTTCTAACCAGATATCTTTTCTACTCTACATTTTACTTTGTATACATGTACACTACCACCCAAAAGTTTGGGGTCAGTATGATTTTTTTTTAAACTAATTAATAGTTTTTCATCAGGGCAGTGGTGGAAAGAGTACTGAAAAAATATACTCAAGTAAAAGTACCATTACCTTCCAAAAAATGTAGTGCGAGTAGAGTAAAAATACTTCTCCAAAAAACTACTTGAGTAAGAGTAAAAGAGTAGCCTATTTAAAAGTACTCATGAGTATTGAGTAGTGAGTACTGAGCTGTGGATGCTACCCCCTCATAATAAACGCTGTACACCGCAATTGATACATTATAAAAATGTTGTACATTCTGTAATTCACATTATCTTATTTGTCATAAAGAATGAAGAGTATCTATCATCCAGCAGTTTTAATTTTAAGCAACAACGACTTTTCCAAGTGACTGCTGCAGAACGCACGCGAGAGAGAGAGAGACGAGGCAGCGCAGATCGCGCGTCTCATAAGTGAGTGGGAATTTACCGAATGTGGCACTTGCGGGAGTTTACACTGTATGCAATACCCGCAACCTCACACCAAATTTCAGGCTGTGTAGATAGGCAAGCATATATACAAATCATTTAGTAAGCAGAAATCCGAAATTTACCTTAACATATTAAGTTAGAGGAAGATGCGACTGAATTGATGCTTGAAGAATGCGCTTCCAGCAGCCATGATAAACAGTTGGCGGTTAAAGTTTTCTATGCACAATTTGATTTGAGGAAAGTCACGAGACCTATTACTCTCTCTCCAATCACGTTGATGGATAAAAATGAAATTAAAATAAGCATGTAACAACTACAAACGGAGGAAAATAGCGGAGTAAAAGTACCGATACATCACTTAAAATGTACTCAAGTAAAAGTAAAAGTACACAATTTTTAAACTACTCAAAAAAGTACAATTACTGATAAAAACTACTTAATTACTGTAACGTGAGTATTTGTAATTCGTTACTTCACACCCCTGCATCAGGGATGCATTAAATTGATCAAAAGTAAATATCAAAGTAGAGACATTTATAAGATCAAAGTAAAGACATTTATAAAGTTACAAAGGACTTCTTTTTCAAATAAATAAGTATTTTTTTTAAAATTTCTATTCATCAGAGAATCCTGAAATTAAAAATGCATCACGATTTCCACAAAAACATTAAGCAGCAACATTGCACATTGGCACTATGATAGGATACAGTATTTTAACATTAAAAAGAGACACATCATTTGATTTTAAGTCCAGTTATTGTCAATCTGGTTAGTGTTGTACTGTTAAGATGTGATATGCATATAGGATAATTGCTCAGGGTTGTTGTTTGTTTGTCAGGCCCTAAAAATCACACTGAAAGAAGGAGAAGGATGTAGTTAATGTGAAACTTCCTCCGGGGCTCTACGAAGTATTAATAAACGTATCAACTAGCCAAGTAGTTTGTTATTGATATCTCAATTAGGGCTGGGTATCGAGTTCGATACTTTTTAGGCACCGACCGAATTGCCTCGATACCATCGAGTATCGAAAAACGTCTTGTCGTTCGGTACCAAATTTCGATACCTAAGGGGTTAATCTCATCAGCGTCAGTGAGCCAATAAGCCTGCAGCACTAGCCGGTGTGTTCGACTAGAGGTGCGGCGCAGATCGATCATCCGCGAGAGCGATTCGAAAGCGCACGGAGCAGTCTGCTCTCTTTAGCTCTCGTGGTACTGTAATACACCCAGTATGGGAAGCCAAACAACTCAAATGTGGGACGAAACAGCGCGGTATTAAAGTGTTCGCGCCGCGCTGTTCATAAAATTGGTATCGAAAAAAGTATCGTTCAGGAACCGGTATCGAAGTCAAGGTATCGGTATCGATATCGAAACATTTTGAACGATACCCAGCCCTAATCTCAATCGTGTAAGCAACTCGACATTGCAAACTTCACACATCTCCCGGCGGGTCAAGCACAGGCCATGCCTGAAACTTTGAAACTTCAAGTAGCTTGTTTGCCATCTCTCCTCTGTAATTAAAAATGCTTATTTGAGCATCTTCCAGGCCATGAGAGGACTGCGAGAAGTGTCGGTCAATCACAATGCACTGGGTCAGCTGGCCAATCAGAGCAGACTGCGCTTGTCGGAAGGAGGGACTTTGTAGAAAACGAAGCGTTTGAGAGAGGCGGGGGATAGAGGACCTACAATAATGTACAGTATTTGAAAAATAATGTGTTTTTTGAACATTAAAGCATGTCAACATATTCTGTTACACCAAATACACAAAATAATGATCTTTAAAAAAGCATCAAATGACCCCTTTAATATTCCATGAACAGGGATCGATCAGTATACCATTTGCATAATATGAACACGTTTTTATATCATATGATTATACAAAAAAGTTACAAAAGCTGTCACTGGGGCGGTAAAAAAAGGTTCATATTAGTACTTTAAAGGTACATCCCCATTCCCCAGACCTAAACAGACCAAGGGGGAACCCCTCTCACTACCCCAGTGACAGCTTTT